CCTTCCTCCCTTCCTCCCTTCCTCCCTTCCTCCCTTCCTCCCTTCCTCCCTTCCTCCCTTCCTCCCTCCCTCCCTCCCTTCCTCCCTTCTTCCCTCCCTTTTGATAGGGTTTCCATTGGCTGGTAGTCGAATACATAACAGTTAGTGCCAACCAGTACTGCTATAGAAGAAGTGCTGTAACAACCCTTCCCTGGAATGTGTGTGGGTGGCTTGGTGTTTGTGGGGCACTCTCTCTGCTGCCTTTCGTGGCAGTGTCTCAGGGAGATTTGGTTAAGATCCAGAGAAGCTCAGGGCCTCCAGCTTACCGCAAACATTGCTTTTCGCATGTCTGTTCACCTGAGAACCTCGTTATTTTCAGCTCATCATGAAGCATCCACATAAGAGCAATTCTTCTTAGATTTCTTCTACCTCGTGACTTTTTAAAAGCATGCTTTCCCAAGACACAGCACTTCTCTTTGATAAATTGAAGAAATGTGAAGTCTCCTAGCTCATTGTGTCTCCAGAGCAGTTCCTTATGTTAACCGTCACCTACTCAGCTCTAAGACCGTGTTTTGTCCGCCGGATGAATTTAAGGTATCCTGGTTCTCATGGCCTGGACCGTGCGCTTGCTTAATTAGGTAGCCCATTCCTCATCGGTGTCTGATGGCAACAGGAAGAAAATAGAATGATTGATACGGTGTTTCCAACCATCTTAACAAATGAAGTGGGCTGACTGTGCAGGTGAGCTGGCGGCCCGGGTAAAATAGGCCTGGAACAATGATTCTGCTGAAAGGAAGAGGCAGTGGTCAGGAAGGAAATCCGATTTTGGAGTCTAGTGGGCCATGGTCAAATCCTTCCTCTATCAACTTACTCCTTCCATGATTTTGGCAGGTTACTTGTCGTCTCTGAGTTTCTTTATGTACAGAAGTTGGGAGACAAGAACAAAGTTCACAACAATGAGGAAAGGAAACAGGAAACACAGGGAGGAAATGGGAAAAGTGATGTTCCATTGTGGGGATTTGCAGCCAACGACATGAAACAAAATGAGTATGAATTGTTGAATAGAAAATTGACCAGTTCTGTAAGCCTTCACCCAATTCACAATAAGACATTACAAAGAGACAGAAGTTGTGTGATGGCTTCCTTATGAGGGAGGAGATGGTGTAAAGGTACACAGGTACCTGAACTCACACTGGGAACGTACCTGTCATGTTCCTGTCATCCTTACAATGAAACACACTCATTCAGTGGTCCCCAGCAGACCACTTGTTTATGGAGGAATTGAATGACAGCCGCTTGCACCATCGTCATTGAATGTGTGGCGTTGGCTGGGTGGGCCTCACTGGCAGTGCTCTGTATACTACTGGGCACGTTCCCAGATGCTGAGGCTAGCGGCTGTGCTGCAAAAGGGCTCCTCCTGTCTGAGGGGTAGCAGAAAACCAGGAGATTAAAACATCCCTTAAGGAAAGAGCCAACAAAGAGATTGCACGTCTTCATGGTGAAAAGCTCCTCACCTGCCCTGCTAGGACAGACCCACATGTCCTCCCTCACCACCTGGTTTTCTTCAGTTCTCCCACCCTCAGCAATGCACTCAGAACCTTCTGGAAGCATTTGCAGGACCACATTGCATTGGCCACCCTCCTCTCCCCATAGACCCAGAGTATCCTCAAGGCCTGGTAGCTCATTCCTGAATGTTTCCTGAGTGTATTTGCTTCCCTCTGTATCTACCAAAAGAAGGGATCTGCATGGGTTTAAATCAAGTAGGGAGTTGGATAAGATAAGGATGCGCGAGGAACTGTTCTATAGGAATATTTGTCCACAGCATCTCAGCAGATGTGTGAAGCACTTGGGGTGCTGGAAGTAAGGGAGTTCACACATAGCTGGGTTCTTTGTGGGGAGTCGTAGTTGCCTTAGGGATGGCTCGGGGTGTGTGGATTTTAGCCAGGACAGGAGAAGCTGAGAAGGGGGCACCTTGGTGGTTTGCCCTTTTCACAATTGTGATGAACTTGCTTCGTCTGTGGTTTTAAACCTGCAGCAGATGAGAAGCTGGGAGTTACAGGGGAGGGCAGTGCAGCCTCCAGCAGACACGAAGAGGAGCAGGTTGCAGCTAGAAAGGGCACAGAATTTAAGGAACCAATTTCAGAATTCAAAATATGTAGCAGTCCATTTGTTATAGACTCATCGTGGTCTCTGAGGGGAATGATCTATGTATAAACCAGCACCATTATCCATGATCATAGCCCCCTGTTGTTGTTGTTGTTGTTAAGTGCCATCGAGTCAGTTCCAACCTGTAGTGACCATACATAGGGTATCCGAGGAGTGGCTGGTGAGCTTGAACCACCGACCTTGCAATTCAAACAGCTTTGCAGTCTGGTGCATTAACCCGCTGCGCCACACCAGGACCCCCTGTTGTTGTTGTTGTTAAGTGCCATTGAGTCAGTTCCGACCCATAGCAACCCTGTGTAGGGTTTCCTAGGAGTGGCTAGTGAGATTGAACCACCGACCTTGCAGTTCAAACGGCTTTGCAGTCTGGCGCATTAATTCACAGTGCCCCCCCCAGGACTTCCTAGTCTCCGTCCAAGGTTCTGTGTGTACTATATTTAAGAAGACAAAAGGACTCATACTTTAAACAAAGGCGCTCTGGTGGCACAACTGTAAGGTTGGCAGTTCAGATCCCCCCCAGCAGCTCTGTAGAGAAGAAGACCTGGTAATTGGCCCTGTAAAGATTTACTGCCTTGGAAAGGAGCTCTGTGGATACGTCTGTCCTGTTCTGTAGGACACTGTGAGCTGGCATCTACTGGATAGCACACAGCAACTTTAAAGAAACCAGTTGCATGATAAAGTTCAGGGTCTTTTACAAAGACATGGGACCTTCACCACCTGTCCAAATTGGATAATCAGCATAAGAAAGACAAAAAAGATCGCTAGCTAGGTACTTTTTTTTTTTAAGTTAAAACAAAACAGAACATTGTTCTTGCTTTCATTGTGCCAAAGAAACAGACATTAACTTTCTAGTTAATTCTTGAAGGAGGCGGCGTTTGGTCTCTATTTTTTGTGGCTTCAGTTGGAGAAGCCTCGTTCTCTAGTCACGCCATGATAGACAGCAGGACTTTCGTCTGTTCACCTCTCAGAAAGAGAGAACAAGTGTCTATTTCTGGAGGCAGATGGATGAAGGGGCCCAGGAGGTAGTGTTTTTACGCCCCATATGAATGGCTGGGGCTTACAATGTGTTAGGGTGCAGAGCACCTCTCCTGCCTCCTCCCAGGTCATAGCCTGAGACCTTTGGCTTTCAATAAATGGCTGGCACTATTTTTCCCACAAAAATTCTAAACTTTATTTAAGTTATCCTACAGGATGGCGGTGTACACGAAGTGGCTTTGGAGAGAGGTTGTAATCATGGTGCTGTTTCTCTGGCAATTTAGGTTTATTCCATGTTCCTGAGTTATCATGTCTTCACCTGAAAATTTGGGATAAAAGAGCTCTGGTGGTGCGATGGTTAAGTATTTGGCTGCTAGTTCAAACACACCTGGCGGCTCTGTGGGAGAAAGATCTATATGGTGGTCATGGTATCACCTGACTTTGATTTAACAACAACATTTGCTAATGCAAGTGGAAGAAATGAGGAGGTACAATAGATGAACAGAAAATTTCAAAGATCAGCTCGAGAAGATGAAGCCAACTATTATGACAAAATGTGCAAAGATCTGGAGTCAGAAAACCAGAAAGGAAGAGCACACTCAGCATTTCTTAAGCTGGGGAAACTGAGGAAAAAATTCAAGCCTCGACTTTCATTATTGAAAGATTCTCTGGGCAAATTATTGAATGACGCAGAAAGCATCAAAAGAAGATGGAAGGAATACACAGAGTCACTGTACCAAAAGGAAATGGTTAATGTTCAACCATTTCAAGAGGTACCATATGATCAAGAGCCAATGATACTGAAGGAGGAAGTCCAAGGTGCATTGAAGGAATTGGCAAAGAACAAGGCACCAGGAATTGATGGAATAAAAATTGAAATCTTTCAAGAAAGTGAGGCGGCACAGGAGGCACTCACTCATCTCTGCCAAGAAATTTGGAAGACAACTATCTGGCCCACTGATTGGAAGAAGTCCGTATTGTGTCCATTCCAAAGAGGTGACCCAACGGAATGCAGAAATCATCGGACAATCTCTTTAATATCCCATGTGAGTAGTTTTATTAAAGGTAATACAGAAACGGCTGCAAGCATACATTGACAGAGAACTTCTGGAGGTTCAAGCCGGATTCAGAAGAGGACGTGGAACGAGAGATATCATTGCTGATGTCCTATGGATCTTGGCTGAAAGCAGAGAATATCAGAAAGATGTTTATCTGTGCTTTATTCACTATACAAAGGCTTTCAATTGTGTGGATCATGACAAGCTATGGACAATATTGTGAAGTATGAATATTCCAAAACACTTAATTGTGCTCATGAGGAATCTGTACCTGGACCAAGAGACAGTTGTTCGAACAGAACATGGGAACACTGAATGGTTTAAAATTAAAAAAGGTGTGTGACAGGGTTGTATTCCTTAACCATACTTATTCAACCTGTATGCTGAGCAAATAATCTGAGAAACTGGGTTACATGAAGAAAAACGTGACATCAGGTTTGGAGGAAGACTCCTTAACAACCTGCGATATGCAGATGATACAACCTTGTTTACTGAAAATGAAGAGGACTTAAAACATTTACTGATGAAGATCAAAGAGCACAGCCTTTGGTATGGATTGTATCTCAATGTAAAGAAAACAAAAATTCTCACCACTGGACCAATAAACACCATTATTATCAATGGAGAAAAGATTGAAGTTGTCAAGGACTTCATTCTTCTTGGATCAACCATCAACACTCATGGATGCAGCAAAATCAAGAAATCAAACGACGTATTGCACTAGGCACATCTGCTGCGCAGGAACATTTTAAAGTGTTGAAGAGCAAA